GAGGTGGTGAGGGGGAGAAGGGAGGAAAGAAGAGGGTTTGGAAAGAGGTTGTGAGGGGTGAGAAGAGAGGGAGGAAGAGAGTTTGGAAGGAGGTGAGGGGGGAGGAGGGAGGAAGGAGGTGGTCGTAATAACTTCGTATAGCATACATTATACGAAGTTATACGACCTCCTTCCAAACCATCTTCCTTCCTCCCTTCACACCCCTCGCCACCTTCCAAACCCTCTACCCGTCCTCCCTTCTCATCCCTCATCACCTCCTCCCTCCCTTCTCTCCCTCACCACCTCCTCCCTCCATTCCTCCCTTCTCACTCCTCACCCCCTCCTTCCTCCGTTCTAGCCCTCTCCCCCTCCTTCCAACCTCTCTTCCTTCCTCACTTCTCACCCATCACCATCTCATTCCAAACCCTCTTACCTTCCTCCCTTCTCGCCCCACACCCCCTCCTTCCAAGCCCTCTTCCTTCCTCTCTTCTCACCACTAACGACCCCCTTTCCAACCCTCTTTCTTCCTCCCTTCTTACCCATCACCACCTCTTCCCTTCCCCCCTTCTCCCCCCCCTCCACCTCCTTCCAAATCTTCTCCCTCCCTCCCTTCCCTCCCCCCCCCCCCCTTCCTCCCTGCTCCCCCCTCCCCACCGCCTTCTAAACTCTCGTCCTGCCTCCCTTCTCCCCCCGCACCACCTTCCAAACCGTCTTCCTTCCTCCCTCCGCCATCACCTCCTCCTTCCTCCCTTGTCACCCCTCACACCTCCATCCAAACCCTCTTCCATCCTCCCCTCTCACCCCGCCCCACCTCCTTCCTACCTTCTCACCCCTCAACACCACCTTCCAAACCGTCTTCCTTCCTCCCTTTTCTCCCCTCACCCCCCCCTCCTTCCATACCCTCTCCCATACTCCCTTCTCACCCCGCACCCCCCACATCCAAACCCTCCTCCTTTCCCCCCTCACACCCCCCACCCCCTCTTCCCTTCCTCCCCTCTCCCCCCTCACCACCACCACCTTCCTTCCTCCCTCCCCTCCCTCCCCCCCTTCTCACCCATCACCATCTCATTCCAAACCCTCTTACTTCCTCCCTTCTCACCCTCCCCACCTCCTCCTTCCTCCCTTGTCACCCCTCACCACCAGCTTCCAAACCCGCGTCCGTGCTCCCTTCTCACCCCACGCCACCTCCTTCCAAATCTTCTCCCTCCCTCCCTCTCTCTCTCCTCCCTCCCTCTCTCTCTCTCTATCCTTCCTCTCTCTCTCTCGTAATAACTTCGTATAGCATACATTAGACGAAGTTATACGAGGAAGAGGGTTTGGGAGGAGGTGGTGATGGGTAAGAAGGGAGGAAGGAAGTGAGGTTGGAAGGAGGTGTGAGGGGTGAGAAGGGAGGGAGGACGTGGTGAGGGGTGAGCAGGGAGGAAGGGGGGGAGGGGGTGGTGGGGGGTGAGAAGGGAGCACGGACGCGGGTTTGGAAGGAGGTGGTGAGGGGTGAGAAGGGAGGAAGGAAGAGGGTTTGGAAGGAGGTGGTGAGGGGTGAGAAGGGAGCACGGACGCGGGTTTGGAAGCTGGTGAGGGGTGAGAAGTGAGGAAAGAGGTGATGAGGGGTCAGAAGGGAGGAAGGAGGTAGTGAGGGTGAGAAGGGAGGGAGGTGGTGAGGGGTGAGAAGGGAGGAAGGAAGGAGGGGGGTGGTGAGGGTGAGAAGGGGGGGAGGGAGGGGAGGGAGGGGGGGAGGAGGGTGTGGAAGGGGGTGGAGGGGGGTGAGGGGTGGGAAGGGAGGAAGGGAGAGGGTTTGGAAGGTGGTGAGGGGTGAGAAGGGAGGAAGGAGGTGGTGAGGGGTGAGAAGGGAGGAAGGAAGAGGGTTTGGAAGTTGGTGAGGGGTGAGAAGGGAGGAAGGCAGGAAGGGAAGAGTGTTTTGGAGGAGAAGGTGAGGGGTAAGAAGGGAGGAAGGAAGAGGGTTTGGAAGGAGGAAGGGAAGAGATTTACAGCTGGTTGTGGGGATTGGTGATCAACAGCAAAAAGAAAAAGGAAAAGAAAGCCAGAATGATATTGGCAAAGGAGAAAGAGCAGAAAAGAGACAAGCATGTTCACCTTTCAAAGCTATTACAAATAAAAGTAACATCAACTAATGACAGAGATGATAACAATGGAAATAAAAATAATGATAACTAATATTGATATCCAAAAAATACCTTCCATTATATCTATGGTAAAAGTAACATCTATAATGACAGAGATGTTGACTGTAAAAACAAAATTAACGAATAAATAATATCAGTATCTGAAAGATGACTTCCATCATACCTATGATAATATATGTTCTTACTTATCCATATTGTATCTGGTCTTTGGTAATATGATCCTGGAGCTTTCAAACTTTCCCTCTGCGGCACAGGGCGAACACGAGGTCAGTCGAATACACCTCGAAGTCATCCTCAGGGTCTGTTACCACATACCTCAAGGGAGGCTCTTCAGACCTTGCAGCCAGTTCTCTGTAAAGACAGTGAGCAATAGTTTCAGATATATGTATGTATACAAATAAATATATGCATATATTTCTTTCAAACATTACATAATGTAAGATGTCAAAAATTCTTGTATATTGACATTATTTCTATTAGTATTCTTTGAATTTGTCTCATTTTCAACTGGATGTGCTTGAGTTTATCTTATATCAGAACCAATCTACTAAGGTAAACTGTCATGCCACCATGTTTTTCATATTTATTTCCAGCCCTCAAGGAAACGGGTACTCATTTAAGTGTTCACTACGTTTCTTGGTATTATTCATGCTGCCCAGCCTGAAAATTTCCAGAAAAGGATGTGCTGGGAACACGTCAAAATAAAATATAGAGATCACTTGATCACCTTCATTACTACCCCGACAGTAGTGAGTAACTATGCTTAATGTTTGGCAGTAGTAATGAATTACATGATATATGGAATATGTTACATACTGACTTGTACAACAATGCCACCGTCCTCAGTTAGAGTACACCCTCAATTTGGCAGGGCTGCCAAATTTCAGAACCTTGAATTACCATCATTTTCTTTACAATATTTGCTGTCTGCTTGATCCATTCCAAATCACCCAACCAGGTAATTATCCAACCTTCAGAAAACATCCCTTCCACTCTCCCAATATACTCCGCTCCATCTCCTCTTCCTTCAGTCTTCTTCATTTTCAACTCCCTCCTATGTTACTACCCTTCATGCTTATTGTCAGCCTCCCCAAGTAGCCTAATACCCCACACAAATCCTCTCCCCTTTCCTCCTGTCCTCTTCATTCTACTACTTCCGTCTTTACAATCCTTTGAATACTCTTTTAAGCCCAGCCAACTGGAATTGGCTTTTTTGTGATAATATCCTCCTCTTACAAAACAAGTACGAAAAGTTTTTCTGCAGCCATTCTGATTGTCCTTCTACTACCTCCGTCTTTACAAAACTTTTGGATACTCTTTTAAGCCCAGCCAACTGACTTATGATCTTATGATTCCCACTCCCAACACCCCCTACCCTCTGCTCCATCTACACCAACTACTCTTACTTCTGTTATCCCTGCTGCTCCCTCATGGATATGCAAGTAACTCTGTCATAACAGATCCTTCCTTCTCCTGATATCACCTCCCTTCCTTCATCCTTTGTCTCAGTTCCCAAGTCTTCTCCTACTTCTCCCAACACTTTTTACCCTATCATCTGATAATTGTTTCAAAACAGCTCTTCTACACTTAAATACCTGTAGCTTCTGTTCTCACCAACTTGTAACCTCTATTTGATCTAATCAACCTTAACATCCCCTTTTCCCTTTTGCCAATTCCTGCTTACCCCATTTATTCACTCTCTTTACCCTTTTCAATACCATACTATCCTAAAGTGCTGTATGACTTTGATGTGTACCACATTTAATCATTAACTCGTTAATCCCCTCTTTAACCTTTTCATTTTATAGCTTGCTTTAATACCAAATGATTTTTTGTGTTTATCTCATTTATTGCTTTTAAACATTAACCATTTACAATGAGTCTACTTCACATACTACATTACATAAGATACATGTATACTAAAGCACATATTTCACAGCCATAAATACCAACTATTATGATATGATTTTACAAACATAAAAAAAATAAAATAAAATAAGTTTATCATTATTTGGCAAGTTGCTAAAACATACACAATCCCAATATACATGTAAATTATGTATAATGGTCAGAATATGGTCTACAGGCCTTCATATATCATATAGTGCAACAGAAGCACTTACCTGACCTGCCTGTAGAGTCCAAGGCATAATATGTTGCTCTGCAGGGCGAGGCAAAAAACGTCTCCATATGTCTTCTCTTTAGATGTCTCAATATCTAGCAATCTTACTAGAACCTGGTCAGAACTGATGAGAAAAAAGTCAATGAGAAAATACAAACTTGCTTAGGAACAGTGAATTGTGAATATTTACTTATTGATATTTGTTGAACTATCACTTGCATGTTACCTGTCATTGAGGGATACTGAAAACAGAACACTGGCTCACCCAGCCGATCTTTGCTCCACAAGAGATTCTGGCGACAGTCCACCTTGCAGGAGTTTGCTTACAAAACTGAGGATGTCTGATTTGTCATAGTTCTATAAATCAAATCAACAAATAAGCTTATATTTTGGGTGAAAGATAAATAATAGAAAAGTAAATACAATAATTTTAACAATAGACATACATCACTGATATGTAAAAACATAATTTAGGAGACACTTCAAAACAAGCCTACCAAATATGGAAAGGAGTGACAGAGTGCAGGAGGAATTGTCCTTCCTACAGCCACTGCAAAGGTGTCATTCGCAGGTGTCATCGGCTCATCAGTGACATGACTAATGAAAATAGGAAGCCTCTGACAGTAGTTGCACTGTCCGTCCATTGTGGTAGTTCCACCAGGCGCTGTAAAATATCATTAGATGATAAAACAAGAATCAATATATCATCCTTTCAGGGTTAACATTATATATGTTTTTTTTCTACCAATTTCTAACATCATAAAATTCCTTGAAGAATCAACAATACTCCCTCATACCTCCCTTGTTCACCAAGCGGCCCAACTGTCTTGAAGTCTCCTTGAGCACTTCGAATGCCATGTTGAATCTTGAATCCAGTTTTCCTGGTTCGGCATTGAGGATGATGCACATCTGGCAAGTGGCCAGTTTCACCATTTCTCGGGTTTCTTTATCCCAAGGATAACCCTGTACAAGATCAGTGTCATTTCTTTTGCTCCTCAATAAGTATACAAAAGAGGTACAAAGGAAAATGGAAAAAATTAAACAGGTAAATTGATAGTTAATGAATAATCAGAAACTCAC